TTTCTTATTGTATTAAAAAAATAACGTTCGTAACACTTTAGTAAATATTAATCCGTATATTAATTGAGTATATATTAAAGACTAGAAGATGACCCGGTGAACTTCATATCATCTATAATTTATTTGAATTTAACTTTGATCAATTATAACAAATCTTCAAAATCCAATACAATGAGATCACTAATACTGCCTGCTGTTATAGCTGATAAAAGATTCCACACCTATAAGATGTGCCACGCCCCTTTTTACAAACTCATTTATATACATATATTGTTCCATAAGCACCTAACATAGGTATCTGTGCATTTCAAATTTCGAGTTCATGTGACTATAATTCCGAAGTTAGAGCTGATTAAAAATTTTCACTATGGGAGGTATCCCTCATCCCCCCCCCCCTTGGCGAGTTTAAATTTTTTTCCACTATTATAGGTCCAGGAGTCATGGCAATACTTTGGCAAAATTTTATTCGATTCTATACATCCGTTCAGGCTGCAACCTGGTACATACATACATACATACTTCCACAAATATATAGTAGATTTGCTTTGAAGCGCCATCTTGCGGTTCTTTAAATAAAAAATAGATATCAGAAATGAATTTTTCATATCACAAAACTCCCGAGCACAATTATTTATTACAAAAAAAAAAAACATTCCTAACACTTTAGTAAATATTAATCTGATTATGGACTTAGTATTAATTAAAAATAATTTCTTTTAAAATTGCGCAGGCTCGAAATTGATTTTAGAGCTATGGTCTTAAGGGCTTTTTTTCTTAGAATTTTATGTAGAATCCGAATCTGCTAGGAACGATGTCGAAAAAAAAATTGACCCGCCCTAATGTATATCTATGTATCTGTAAATGCAAAAAAAAACTCGAACTTAAAATATTCGATTAACCGAAAATGAACGGTTAACCGAATAATCTAAAGTGAACGGTTATCCGAATAGTCGACAGCTTTCGACTACTCGAATATTGCTAACCGATTAACAGTAGTCGACTTCAGTCAGATTCGAATAATTCGGTTAATCGATTAACCGAATTGCCCGAGCTCTAGTATGAAGCCTTCGGCATAGCCGAAGACAGCGATGCTCTTACTTGTTTTTTGTTGACTTTTTTTTCAATATTTTAAATTAAATTTTAGTTGTATAGATTTTGTTAGACAATGAGCTATACTTTTATAAAAAAAAATTATAATTAAAATTAATTTGGAAAACCTATAATAAATAGCCCAAACCGAGTGACAGCAGCATTTTACTTTTAAACATGTGAAATATAATTCAAGAAATTATTTGTGTATAATTTAAGTTAAACTCTAAGCTTAATGAAACTTAGTTGAACTTAGTGGGACTTTCTAACAAAAGTGGCCATGACTTTATAGCCTAGCTGAAGAGATCTCAATGATAAGTTACAATAAATTAAGCCTACACTCACTGGAGCAACAACAAACACACTGCAGTAGACAAAAAAATTGGTTTTGTTTGGTTGCGGGAAAAGGGAGGTAATGTGTTGACGGAAATGGTGAAAAGTACAATTAAGCTCCAAAAGTTACACTTTTCGTTTTTTTAAAAAGCTTAAATATCAACACTGGTGAAAATCCTACTTATCCATCTGCTTGTTGTAATAGAAAGTTTTATACGGGATCTTTTAATATCGGCCTTCCATCCTTGACCTGCCTGTGCATCGATCTACATATCTACAATCAAGGTGAAGGGATATATTTGCCCAGACTTCCTGGTCTTGGATTTTTATCCTGAAATTTCCTGCGAGGTACTATGTGTGTAGTTATGTATGTATCTACAATCGTTTAAATAATTATTTTTATTTGTCAATGTTATTGTGGCTTGTTAACATTTTATTTTTAATATTTTTATTGAGCTTTGTACCACGATTGTTTATTGTTGCTTTTTCAATTTTTCCTAATAAACAATCGTGGTACAAAGCTCAATAAAAATATTAAAAATTATTTTTATTATTTAGCATAAACTAAGTCCAATGCCCATCTCGAAGTAATCGTTCCAGTGTTGTTGTCACACTAAACGATTGTTATCTAAAAATGTTGCACCACTTAGTTGATTGACTTGTTTCAAAAAGTTGAAAGTGCTGTTCTACTAGTAGTATCTACTAAAGGCGAATCGAATTTCAGAAATGCGCTTTAGATGCTAATTAGATATGGGTGGCCAAATTGGTTCAACTACTTTAGGATAACTTATGCAAGCTTAAACATAAAAAAAATTTCTAGTGAAGAATTTGATGGGAAATGCATTCCTTGTTCTAGCTGGCAGCACTAGACTTTTGCGCTAGTTATGGAAATATAAGTTTTTTATTAAACAAGTTAAATTTTTTAGGACGTCGCACAGTGACGCCTAGGTGGGCAAAAATCGAAAAGTTCGTTGCCGCCAATGTGAACGTGTTTGGTATTTTTGTAAAGGTAATATATCCCACCAGGAAGCCACTAAATTCGACAAATTTTATACTAAAAATTTTAATAAGAGCATAGCCATGCGTAAGCTCCTCACGGAAAAAAATGTCAAAAATATATTCTTTAAAACAAAATGTTGGTTTGACGTTCTTTGTTTCCATATAGATAGTAGAGAATTACAGGAATTAAAATTTTGAAATAAAAATTAAACACAGGGGGTCCCTGCCCTGTTTAATAAAAATTTCAAAAAATGGTAAATTTGAATGGAATAAATAAAAAATATATGTAAAATATGTTATTTTTTATTATTTTGTTAAGTAGTACGGGTTTTTAGCTTTCTAAAGAAGAAATAAAAACCTGGTCATTTTGTGCACTTTTTGAAGTAACGCGTTTTTTGCTAATGCATAAAATGATTTTTTTTCAGTGCCACAAAATCTGTACGATTGGTTCTGTTTTAAAAAATGAAGTGTCAGAATAAAAAGCTTGACCTGTAAACAACAGAGGTTTATTTTTTTGCCACCTGTTAAAAAAATCAAATTCCATTGGAATTAAAGGAATGATTTTGTTCAAAAAGATGAGTATCACCATATTGGAGTCAGCCGAAAGCGGTTTAAGAAGGTTTTAGCTTGCAAATGTTACGAAGAGGGTTGCCACTTGTTTGTAAAGTTAAACTTAATTAAACTAAAATAATAGTTGTGTCAAACGAAATGTTTACTACATCGTATTTGTTATTAATAACAATAACCGATTGGCGCTTACACATATATGTTAGTGCTTAGTTGAGCTTCTCCTCCAAATTGTGGCGTGCGCCTTGATGTTGCCACACAAAGGGGAGGGACCCACAGTTTTACGCCGACTCCGAACGGCGATTGTATTTTTATGAGAAGCTGTTTCTCATGGCAGACTCGGAGGTTTGTCATTGCCTGCCGAGGGGTGACCGTGTTAAGAAAAAACCTTATTTCTTTGTTTTTGCGATGTTGATTTGACTAGGGCTTGAACCCAGGTGCTGCGGAGTGTAAGCGAGCACTGCGGCCGCCAATGGAATGTTTTTACTCTTCACTTATTTCCGTTTAAAAAAAAATAAAAATTTTCTGCAAATCTACAGGCAAATTCCTATCATTTGACATCTCACTTTTGAAAATAGAACGAACTATATGTACATACATACAACCAAAATTTTCAACTTCAAACTGTATTTACGGTGAAAGTATGAAAGATTTAAAAAAAAAATTGCATTTTTGAATTTAGCGTCCTCAATTTTACTAAAAAGCGAATTTTCATTGAAATCCATCCATAATTCTATTTTTGCCCACATTTTATATGGAAGGGAAGCACTGTGCGTCTCATTAGTTTTCACTATTTGTACCACTGATGTGAAGTTTACTTTATACTTTATTTTTTCCTAGTACATAAATTAAGTAACAAAAAACAAATTTAATTATAAAAAATTATGTAATCGATAAGTTTTACTTACAAATATAGGTAATAAGTAACAGGTAAACAAATTTCTTGTGGTGCGACAAATACGCTGACGTCATGGCAAAAAAAAAGCTTTAAGAAGGTTTAAATAATAGAATGCAAATTAAAATAGAAAACAAGTAAGAAAGTCTAAGTTCGGGCGGAGCCGAACATTAAATACCCGGCGCAAGTATTAAATATATGTTTTTTCACCCTTCCGAAACCTTCCGCTAGATGGTAAGCCGGGGTGTATCAATTTTGACTAAATTAGCGTCCTTCAATTTCGAAATATTCAAGCATTTCTGAAATTTGCCGTTATATGATAAGTGGTCGTAATTTTAATCTGATTCCAATAATTTTCAACGGTTTGCTTCTATGCGGCAAGCACAATAATCATACCGAGTTTGGTACGAATTGGTAGAACGGTTACCGAGATACATATATGTGATCATAAGTGGGCGGTGCCGCGCCGATTGTCCGATTTTAAAAATTTTCGGCCATTTGGTATGCTGTAGCAAGACTAACAACTGTGCCAAGTTTGGAAGAAATTGGTGAAGCGGTTACCAAGATATACACATGTATCCATAAGTGGGCGTGGCTACGCCCATTTTCCAAAAATTTATAATATTCTTATTTTTCGTCTAAAAGTTATTGTAAATACCAATTTTGAGTGAATAATCCTTAGTAGTTACTAAAATATCGCAGTTTTCGTATTTCGGAAAATTACCGTTATATGGGAGGTAGGCGTGGTTATTGTCCGATTTTTCCCATTTTCAATACCATCCGTCCTACGGCCGAAGTAAGTATACGTACCAAGTTTCGTTAAGATATCTTAATTTTCACTCGAGTTATCGTGTGCACAGACGGACGGACAGACGGACGGACGGACGGACGGACAGACAGTCACCGCTTAATCGATTTCTCTTTTCATTCTGATCATTTATGTATACATTTGTCTATATCTATCTCGATTCGTTTTGCCTGTTACAAACAACCGTTATGTGAACAAAGTTATAATACCCTTGTGCACAAGTGCGCTCGGGTATAACAAGTGGCGACAACCATGGCGGCTATGACTTATCTTCACTTTTTCTTTCTCATTTCTCCTAATTCTTCTTCTCTATTTTATTTTTTCGTATACGTAGCCACCGTTGCTGCCGTATATTGTGCCAGATTGTTGGTGTCTGCCTTCCGCTGAAGAAGCTTGAGAGCTTGTGCCAGTATGAACAACAGCCGTTGGAACAGATGAGTGCTGCTGTGGTGCTGGAGTTTCGTTTTGGAACGATTGTATTTGGCCATTACTCCCCGACTGATAGCCTGAAGAGGTTTGCACCACAGTTCGACTCAAATCAGCTGAATCTAAATGGCTGCTGTGTTGAATTGGGGCGGAAACGGTATCAGGAACTTCATAATTTTGACGCGCTGAAGTTGGTGGCAAATACGCTTGGCTAACTGAGTGGCTTTGTGGAACTGGCGCAGAATAAGACTGTGGAGCATATTTCAGGCTGACTGGAGTTGGGCCTGGCGCAGGTGCTGAATATGATTGTTGGCTAATAGGAGCCGGAGCCGAAACCGAATGAGACTGATGGTTAATTGGAGTTTGCGGTGATTGAGCTGGAGGTAGATATTGCTGGCTAATTGGAGATTGCGCCGGTGCAGGAGCTGAATATGATTTCTGACTAATAGGAGCTGGCGCTGGAGCCGAAAAAGACTGATGACCAACTGGAGCTTGCACAGACTCAGCATTGGATTTGTTTACTGGAGCTGGAGGTAGATATTGATGGCTAACTGGAGATTGCGCTGGTGCAGAAGCCGTATATGATTGTTGGCTGATAGGAGCTGGTGCTGGAGCTGAATTAGGCTGATGACCAACTGGAGCTGGCACAGGCTCAACATTGGATTTGTTTACTGGATCTGGAGGTAGATACTGGTGGCTAATTGGAGCTGGAGTTTCAGCAGGTTCAGAATATGATTTCTGACTAATAGGAGCTGTAGCTGGAGCCGAATCCGACTCATGATCAACAGGAGTTTGCAAAGACTGAGCGCTGAATGTTTGAACTGGAGCTGGAGGTAGATACTGCTGACTGACTGGAGTTGGAGCATCAGTAGGTGCAGAATATGACCGCTGAGTAATTGGTGCTGCAGCTGGAGGCGAATAAGTTACTTTTTGTGGAGCTGGTGGCAAATATTCTTGGCTGACTGGAGCTGGTGCATCTGCAGTGTGAAATTCCTGGATAGAGACTTGAACTGGACCCGATTGATGAGGAGCTGCAGACGCTGAGTATTCTTTCCCTACAGGCGCTTGGTGTTCTTGGTTAACAACAGTTGGAGGCAAGTACTGTTGAACTACTGGCGCTAGTGCTGGTACAGGAGCTGGCGCACCGTGGGTCTGTTGTACAGGCGATGATACTTCGTTCGATTGATACTCTGAGTGCGATTGTTGCTGAGGCAAAAACGGCGCTTGAGCTGCGACATGCTGTGTAACTGGCGCGCTTTCTCGCTGATTTTCCGACGAATTTTGTACAGTTGTTTGGGTTAGGACCTTGCTACCTGATTGGCTACTTTTTTGTTCATGCTCGGAATGATTTTCGACTACCTCCTGAGCGATTGAGTAAGTTTGTGTTGGGGGTGCAGGTGCTGCTGCAGGTGGAAGATAGCCACTTGAAACCTGAGGTGCGTCAACAAAGCTCTGCTGAGCTGGGACAGAATATGACTGCTGAACGGGCGCGCTGAAAACCTGAGATATAGGAGCCGGAGCTTGAGCAGTGTTGTGAACTGGAGTAGCGGCTGGGGCGGAGTACGTCTGCGGAGCAGGCGCCGAAGAAGGTGGTAGATAAGCATTGGAAATGTGTGGTTGCAGGGCTGGTACTGGCGCCACATAAGTTTGTTGAGGTGCTGGTTGGGGCTGTGCAGCGGCCGGTGCTGGTGCAGAATACTCCTCTTCGGCTAACACAACCGGAGCTTGGAAGGCTTGAGGAGAAGGCGCCGAAACGGGTGGAAGATATTCACTAGATAGCTGTGGCTGTGGGGCTGGCGCTGGCTCTCGTTCTGGCGCCGTATAAGTTTGCTTAGCAGGGACAGAATAGGATGGCCCAGCTGAAGGTGGAACAGAGTAATTCTGCTCGATCGGAATAGCCGCAGCCGAAAAACTCTGTGCAGCTAATGCTAAAGCTGGAGGAAGATATTGATTGGATATCGTTGGTGGAGCTGAATAA